TTCATTTGCTATTCAACCAGGTTCCTTGATAGGATATTGAGTTTAAATTATGCCTTATATTTGAGTTGTAACCTAAACATTTGGAATATCAATTTTAAATGTAATCGCATTTAACACCTGCAGTAACAAAACAAATTTCCAAATAAATTAATATTCAGCTTCAGATCAAATCTTAAGTAGCAATTACGCATGGGTTAGAGAAGTAATTATGCAGGGGAAGTAATTGTTGGAGGCTCTGTATTATGTCAGGAAAGCAATTGTGAGGATTATAAAAAAAAACGAAAAACTGGCTTGACGGCATTAATCCATACTGGATAATTATATAATTATACTTGAATTGGTCGTTAAAAGTAAGCTTTAGTAGTGTGGGTATTCTTATAATTGATAGGGTCACTCTTGAAATTTGATTGGTAATTTTGGCATTAGTTGATTTAATGTCTATTAAATGTTCATCACTTGCATGGTTTATAACCGGTTTATTACCTGTATTTATTATGAGGCATATAACTCTATGCTGTTAACCGGTTGACAATTTTTAACTCGGATCAAATCACTAATTGTAATCGGGACTATTTAAATTAAAGTCAAAGTCAGCTGTAATGAATAGTATTGATTAAAATATTTAATAATCTAATCTTAACACTCTGTACATATTAAAGTATCACTATCAATTAATTCATTCATATACACATTCTCCGTTCCTTATTTTAGCGCGATTACGTCGTGCAGCTACCTAATAGATAAGTAGGGTAGGGTAATAGGTTAGGCATTGTGAAAATTCAGATAACGTGATCGATGGTCCTTCAGGGTTTAATATTCTATAAATTTGAGTGAAAGTATTTCGACGACTACTTATCCAAATTAGATGAATTCTTGTTTACCATGGATACGACGTAACAACCAGTGCAACACATCATCAGATCAACTTTATTTAGCGTTAGTAATTCTTAGACAGATCAACTTTAATTTTATCGATCTTTTTTTTCTTTTAAGAATAAAAA